GTTTCAGCCTAGCTTTGGGCAGTGCTTTTTTGGAAAAGGAAGGCTGATAGGTCTATTTTAACACGTGACCATGCGGGTTTGGTTATCCATTTTTTAAAGTCTGTTAGTGCTAGGTGCAGCTGACTTTCCAACTTAGCAGACACCAGGTTTTGTGACCAAATAGGGGCCTAGGGTCCTGGCACCTTCTCCATCTCATCCCGTCATTATCCTGTTTTCCTGCAATTCATAATGTTGTCAGTAGTAGCAGGAAGGAACCTGGACCTTGTCTGTGGGTGGCAGGAACCCCAGCTACTCAATGCTGAGTGGAGGGGAAAAGGCAGCGTCCTGGGCCCCAGGCTTTGTCAGAAGCTTAATTAACAAAGACAAGGGCTAAATTGGACCATTTCCAGTTCTAGTCTTTCAATGGAGGCTGGCTGAGCAGACCTATATCCTAGGCAGAAAGCTCCCTGGGACTAGTATCAAGATGCTAATAGGTTACCTATTCCAGGTGACATATTTGCATTTAAATAGGGGCCTTCTAGGGATGATGCCATAACATTCCAAGGAATATTGCTTTCCTGGGGTGCCTGACAGCCTTGGAAAAGAGAAAGAGAGGAGGTCAGCCTTTCCCTTGCTTCAGTGTGGTGTTTCTGAAAGATTGATCCCCCCACCCCCAGTTGCCCTGGCTTCTGGTGGAATTAATTTCACATTGACTTTTTCAAATTGAAATTTTGAATATATCACTTTCAGTTCCCACAAATCTCCTCTTGACTTTAAGTATCTGCTGGGTACCTAATGAATGAGCCCAAACCCAAATGAATATAGGCTCCTTGAGGGTAAGAACTATTTCCTTTTTGTTTGGTTGATTTTGGGTCTGTGCACCTCTAATACCTAAAATAAAAGTCCATCTTTTTAACACCAATATTATCGTACGGTTTTTGAGTCGTGGAGTACTGTAGTTTCCGAAGGACTGAAATTAAGAATGACCCTAAGAACAATAAAGAAGAAACTTTTATAAGGTGAGTATCATCAAGATGTAAAATGTTACAAATGGGAAATTGAGCTGAAGTAGTAGAAAGGATCAATGAACCAATCAATCAATAAGTACTTATTAAGAGCCTACTATGTGCCACACACTATGCTAGGCACTGGCGATACAAGTAGAAAGAATGACAATCTCTAGTCTCAAGGAATTTACATGCTAATGGGACAGCAGAAAAGCACACATGAAAATAATGCAGCCAGCTTTAAAAAAATGTGAATATATACATACACACAGAAAAGAGTTAAAAAACCAAGGTAGTATGGAAGGGAACTAAGGGATCCCGAAATCCTTCGTGCAGAAGGTGGTACATGAGCTACTTCTTTTTTTTTTTGACAACTTTTTCATTTTTCTAATTTAATGGAAATAACCAAAACAAAGTGGTTCTTAAATAATGCTTTTAACTGATCTAATACAACTTCTACAACACATTCCAGAGCACTTTAAGCAAGAAATATTTACAGGCTGCTAATGTATTAAATAACCATGAAAAGAAAAAGATTGCCTTTATTACGCACCAGCAAAAAATACAGGAACGGGTCAATTAGGACCTGTAACCCGTGAGCTACCTCTTCAAGGAAGAAATGTATCCTATAAGGCAGAGGTAAGGAAGGAGTACGTTCCAGGTAATGGGGCTGGCTAATGCTAAGGCAGAGACTGGAGATGGAAGATTGTGAGTGAGGAACAGAGAGAGGTCCAGTTTGACTGGACTGTAGAATTTTTGGGGAGGGAGGAGAGAAATATCCAATGAGGCTGGAAAGACAGATTGAGACCAGGTTGTGAAGAACTTTAAAAGCTAAACAGAGGAGTTTATAGTTTGTCCCATAGAGGACAATGGAAGGTAATGGAGTTGGCGAAGTAGGGGGAGTCACAGAAAATGTATGATCAGGAAAAATGATGATCTGGTTGCTTACCTACAGTAAGTAAGAAACAATAAGATAGGAAGAACAGTCTATTTGTTCTACTGATAGCTGCAAAATGTGAATAGATGACAAAGAATGCCCCTAAATATTGGGTAACCCCTCCTCTCCCTCCAAAGATGTACCTAGAATATTTGTCCTTCCCCTATCCACCCTTAGGATGGATTCACATTCCTATCAGCTCTAAGGGGGACCCTTCCCTGCCCCCTGTCATGGCAAAGGTCAACAGGAGTGTTCCCCCATCAACACACCAGGCCCACGCTCTTGGTAGGTCTCATGTTGAATTGATGGAGCACATGAACCTGGGCTGGCTGCTATCTGCATCACTGGAGGGAGTGCCCAGATCAATGAGATCACAAATCTACATGTACATATGTGTGTGTACACACATGCGCACACACGCACACACATACATACATACTGCTTACACAAGCAATCACTTTATGAATACTTGCTGAATTGAACCAAACCCATACTATACTGTGTTCTTCCCTCACAAAGGCTTCCCACTAAATGGCTCATCTATTTATTAACACAACACTTATGACTGTGGGATTATAAGGACACCTGAGGGCAAACCTGCAAGGCCATGAGGCAAAGCCAGGGGGTGGTTGGAAGCCCCAGACACAGATGGGCTACACTGTGCAGTAGCTGTCTGAACTGGGAAAGTTCAATCTGAACCATCCTTCCCTGCTTCAAGTGTAATAACTAATATTTATGAGGTAATTAACATTGATTATTTCATTTGATCCTCACAAGATCTCATGGGATTGGTACAATAGAGAAGTCCTATTATTGGCATATCGGAGCTAGGATTTGCATCCAAGCCTTCCTGATTTCACATCCAATCCTGTATTCACAATGCCAATTGCCATTCACCAGCTACTTTAGATTACACAGAAAATACACCCAGGGTGGGAAACGCTGCCCAGAGTAACAAACTTTTTCTATATGTTGGTTAGTTTTGAAGAACATTTTTATTTTCTTCTTTAATATAAGGGATGGCTCTCTGAGTTGGGGAAAGGGGAGAGATACATTGTAAAATGTGATATAAAAAATCGATAAAATTTATTTAAAAACCAAATACATGGGAGGCTTAAGTCTCACATTCTAAAGCCAATGATGCTCACTCACATGAAGAATATCACAGGATAGTGCTGGGAGAGAAACAACACATGTGAAAAGCTAGAAAACCAGTTACTCTTTCCTGTATAAGCTCTTAGCCTTCTCCTGGGATTCTCAACCTTAACAATTAATATTTTATTGTGAATTTGTTGATCAGATTAGACCTAGCCAGTCACCTGAGTCAGCTAGGAAGCCACAGAAAAGGTAGGTTTTGAAGTGAAGGGGAAAAGTCTAGAGTTTGAGAGAAGAGTTTGAGTGTCTGGGTAGAAACAGGAGGGAGGACAGCAATGCTTTTCTTTTTCAAAATTGTGTCTAGGACAGACCTCACATTCAAGAAGACCTAAGGGTGTGTGATGAACAAGCGATTTTCAGTTTTCTTTCAAGGTTATTTTGTAGATAAGTATCCAAGGCATAGGGGGTTTTGTGAACTCATTCTCAATCCCCCCCAATCAATAAGAGAGAGACCTGGGAACAGGACTCAAATTCTTTGCATCAGGAACCTAGTGCCTTTCTCATTCAACCGTGACTTTCACTGTGAAAGTCTATGAGCTTCCAATGCCAGAATTTGGCCCCATCTGGTCCCTCTCACTCAGTATCTTTGAGAATCCCATGTTACTACATACAATATAATTTTCTGAAAGGAAAGATACATGTCTTGGATTTTGAGAATTTGTCGGCCTTCATAGTTTAAATTCTGAAAATACAGTTTCACTAATGGAGTATTTTCAGGGGGATTTTTTCCAGAACAGAAAGGAAAAGCCAGCACCTTGAACTCCTCAGAAGGAGAGGCATGATAGAAAACAAATGGAGAGATAATCGTAAATAAACTGGATGGCTAAATGGTTTCACGGAAATTCTTTCTGAGGTTTTAGAACCAAAAGAAGGTCATTAAATAAAAGGCCATCTTGACTGGGAATGTTACTTTGGAATATGTATGACCTGATGTTAAAATGAAGTTCAATAAGGATTATCATTTTATTAGTCACCAAATGAGCTATGGAATTCTCATTTTCTGTGTTTATGATTTTTCTTTTTTAAAAATCATTTATTTATTTTTAACATTCATTTTTTAAAATATTGAGCTTCAAAGTCTTTTGCCCCTCCCCACCCATTAAGAAGGCAAGTAATATTCTATCAGTTATCCATATAAAGCCATGCAAAATATATTTCCACATTAGCCATGTTGCAAAAAACAAAAAGCAAGAAATACAAAGAAAGTGACAAAGGTATGCTTCAATTTGTATTCAGACTCTAGTTCTCTCTCTTGAGGTAGATCACATTTTTTATCATGGGTCCTTTGGAATTGCTTCGCATCATTTAGACTTATGTTTTAAAAACACCTGAGCTGATGTGTTTCTACATCTTATTCATGTTGGTTGACTGAATGTCATAATGGTTGACTGAAGTACAAACTCTGTCTCATTTCTGCATTTTCTCTCTCATCTTAACAACAGTTAGGAGGCGTTAACTTAGAAGTCAGCAATTTGGGAAACTGCTGTTTATTCTTTCAAAGTTAACGTTAGCTGGCTAGCATTTAAGCTAGCTGGAGTTTGAGTGTGCAAATATATGTGTTCACCTGAGCTGGCACAGATCTATGGTCAATGACAGAATTCTCAATTACTTAGTTAAGCTTCTTAACAATACATGATCTACTGAGAAATTGTAACCCTCGATAGAAAACTTTACCAGTACATTCATATGCCCTGCTTATACCAATGGCATGATTTTCATTTTCCTTCTGCTCTCCTCTTGTTGATTTCTATCAAGTGTATTTTGTTTAGTTGCTTGAATAAAAATGCAGAGTTTCCCTGGGGCTTCATTATCCTCTCCTGCTTTTCGGTATTTTTATGATATTTATTGTTTTTCAACCCTTTGCTACGAGGTATCATTGCTATGCAGATGTAACCCAGTGCAATCTATCATTTTCCACTTACCCTATTGTAGCAATCCACCCCGATATCACAGCGCCTATCCAAACTGCAGCTCCAGCTTTCCACAAATTGTTTAAAGGCTCTCTGGTAAAGATTCTTCGTGGTGGTTTGGCATCTTGCTGGTTGTTTCTGTGGATAATAATCAATATGTCCTATTAGGAAGACAACGCCATATATCACTAAACTTTGACCTTTGCTCCCCAGAGCAGTCCCCAGATGCTTATTCATGCACGGGCAATACCCATATTATATAACTGCCGTTCTATTTGCTAGGCTTCTTTGAATTAAATTTCCTGGGTTCCAGGAATGACAGAATAATGCAGCTAATGTACAGGCAGGCCTTTGATCTTAACAGAGTGTGTTTCCCTGGTTGGAATATACTGCAATCCTTTCCCAATATGCTGCCCCCATATCTGAATCCTCTCTTGTAACAAAGAAAAAAATTAAGAAAACCTCTGAAGACCAATTGACCTCATTGGACTGACTAGTATGCAACATTCTGCCCCTGTAGCTCCCTCACCTCTGTATAAGAAGATAGAAGTAAATTTCAACATCGATTTCCCAGATCAAGCTCAGTGAAAGCAATTGATCTGAGTTCTGATGCATTTCAGTATTGCTTCTGTTTACAGTGTTGCAGTCATTGTAAATATCGTTTTTGTGGACCTCCTTTCTTCCCTCTTCATCATTTCATACACATCTTCCAATGGTTTTCTGCATTCCTCATAATCACCATTTCTTATGATGTGCTAATATTCTATTATTGTCACCTAGCACAAATTTGTTCAACCTTTTCCCAGTTGATAGTTACCTCCTTTTCTTTCTAATTTTTTGCTCCTACAGAGAGTACTTCTATGAATATATTAATAGTCTTTTCTTTCTGTCACTGGCCTGCTTGGGACCATACCCAGTCTTGTAGGGCCTTTCCTCTTTATTTCCAAGATGCTTCAGCTATTTTAGATTAGTGTTCTTATGTTTTCATGCATTTATACACGAAACATGTATAAGAGATCTCTATATGCAAAGAACTCTGCTTTGTGCTGGGCAGTTACAAACAAAAGAATTCAGTCTTCATGCAATTACTTGAAATAGGTGGCTTTACTTTCTTATGCTGATGAAAATTAATGATGGGGGTAGGGGTTGGAGTCAGTCTTCAGACCACTCTTAAGATACCCAGAAAACAAGCACTAGCCTGTGTGCTAAAACCTCAAAGAAACTATGTGGATTTTTAGCACCTAGCACAGAGCTGACAGAAGGCAACTGGGTGGTGCAGTGGGTAGAGTTGCCAGACCTGGAATTAGGAAGACTCATCTTCTTGAGTCCAAGTCCGGCCTCAGATACCTAGTAGCTGTGTGATCCTGGGCAAGTCACTCAACGTTGTTTGCCTCACTTTCCTCATTTGTAAAATAAGCTGGAAAAGGAAATGGCAAAAAAAAGATACTCCAGTATCTTTGCCAAGAAAACCTCAAATGGGATCATGAAGAGTTGGACAAGACTGGAAATGACTGAACAATAACAACAGAGCTGACACGCAGTAGATGCTTATCAAATAATTGTTGATTAATTGCTTGGACCTTCTAGAATCCAGCAGAGGCCTAAAGGAACTGCAATTAGCCCTGGCTCTTTCTTCCTATACAATTTTTATTTTTTAGTCTTAGAAATTGATATTTGTTAAGGTGCTCATTAGAGCATATTGTATTCTATATATTGTATCACATTGAAATATAGTAAGGAATTCTTCTCTTGTGCACATGTTTAGTTCTAGCAATTGCCAACTAATCATTTGGTTCACCAAATGGCAAATCCTATCAGGTCCTTGCACAGCTAGCATAAAGTAAGTATAATGCTTCCAATTATTTTAGTTACATCACTTGCAGTTCATGAATTGATTCATGAAACGATTCTAATGACCACCAAATCTTACCCTTCCAGCTTCCATCAGTCAGAAAGCAATTATAGCCTTTCACATGTCCCCTAAACTCTAAGGGCCTCAGCTTCCTCATCTAGAGAATGGGTGCAGAGGAGGGGAGAGTGGACTTTGGGATCCCAAAATTCTTTCCAACTCTAACAGTCTGTGAATCAATACAAGTCACATCAATGATACTATACAAACACCACAGGTCATCATTTGTTGGCTAATATCTTTCCTCTGTTTTGTTGACTTTTGCTCATTTTTAAGTCAGTCAATAAGTACTTATTTAATACCTACTACGTGCCAAAAACCATGTCAAGGGTTGGAGATACAAAGAAAGGTAAAAACAAAACAAAAACCAAAAAACCAAAAAAAAAAAACCCCAAAACAAAACCAGCTACTATTCTCGAGGTAATCACAATGAGGCAACACGCATATGGCTATGTAAGAACAAGCTAAAGACAGAATCAATGAGAGCCAACCAATAGAGGGAAAATACTAGCATTAAGTGGGATCAGGAAAGGCTTCTAGTAGAATAGAGGTGTCAAACTTGCTGTCCTCTGGCTACTGGCCACATAGGGCCTTACACTTTGGACTGCAACCTGAACCAGATTAAAATATAATTGGGAAATGTTTAATAAAATAAATAAAAATACAATATGACATAGATAATGTTCATTTGTGGTTTTCTGAAGCCAATTGCATTGGATACCACTCTTAGAAACTAGGATTTTAGCCAGGACTTGGAGGGAGCCAGGAGGTAGAGATGGGTAGGGAAAGTACTCTAAGCATGGGAGAACAGCCAGAAAAAATGCCCAGAGTCTGGAAATAGAGTGTCTTGCTCAAGGAGTAGCATGGGGGTCAGATTGAAGAGAACATTGAGAGAAGTAAGGTGGAAGAAGGCTGGAAAGGTAGGAGGGAGCCAACCCAAGACACACTTCCCTCTTGAAGTTTTCTATGACCTCTCCAGCTGCCTAATGAACTCCCCTCATAGGAACTTCTATAGCAGTTATTTTTTGCATCCCTCATTTGGCACTTAACGTGGTTTTAACATGTTATGTTTACATGTAATGTCCCCAGCTAGATTGTAACCCCCTTGAATACAGGGACAACATCTCATATCTCTTTGTATCATCCGCAGTCTGAGCATAGAATATTTAATGACTATGTGTTGATAACTTGATTGATGCTGGGTTTTCCCTTAGTCTCACCACTTTAGGTAAGAGGGGAAAAAAAAGAACAAGAATGGTCCTTCAATTCTGCTCATAACTCTAGACTTCACCACGCTTTCTCCTGACATTGTGCCCAAGAGTAGGACAACCAGGAACGCCCATATAATAAAAAATAATTAGAGCATGCTCAGGGCTCAACTTCTAGGTCCTTTCTGCACTTCCATACCCATTACCTTACCTGGCCTTGGTCTACAAAATGGAAGAACCTCAGAGTTGAAAGCTGTGTAGGCAGGCATCTAATCCAACTTACTCCCAAATAAGAATGTTCCCTCCAACATATTTGATTGGTGGTCAACCAGCCTTAGCCTGAAGACCTCAAGTGAGAAGAAGCCTATTAGTTCTTAAGGCAGCCATGTCTACTTTGGGGCAGCTCTAAATATAAAGAGGTTTTTGGGGTTTGTCCTACAGCAAGCCTAAGGTTGCTTCTTTGCAACTCTCATTCACTGATCCTGGTTCTGCCACCAGACCGGAATTCAGCTAATTGTTCTTTCAGGTGATAGCCCTTAAATACTTGAACAGAACAATACTTGAAGACAACCACCACCACATCCTTCCCAGTTTTCTCTTCTCCTTTCAGTGTCATCATCTCAAAGGCTCATCTAGACCCATGATCATCCCGGTTCTCCTCTGTTGGTTGTCCTCCTGCTTATCAATATCTACCCTAAAATGTTGGTACCCACAGCAGTCCTCTCCCCTCCCCCGAAGCAGCCAAACATTGTGTAAGTTTGTCTTGCCATACCCCACCACAGACTTCATTGCCTTTACAATCCCTCAGCCTCATCCGTCTTCCACTTGTGAAACTGATTTTTTTGAATCCACATTTAATCTCTATTAACATTTTCCTGTTCAGCCCAAAGACTTAGCCTGTTGAGGTATTTTGGGGTTGTGAGCTCCCCCATTATACTGTGAGGTCCTAGAGGGCAGGAGGGGGCTTTCAGCTTTTCCTTGTAGCCTCAGTACTTAGCATAGTGTCTGACCAGTAGTAGTTGATTAAAAAATGTTTAGTGACTCAGTCATCCAACTTGTTAGCTATCCCTCATCTTCATTAGGATGTAAGTTCTACCACCATCACCATCACCATCACCATCACCAATATCGTAGTATTTATATAGCACTTCAAGGTTTGCAAAGTGCTTTACAAACATTATCTCATCTTATCTTCACAACCACAGGAGGTAGGATTTGAACTCAGATCTTCCTGACTCCAGGCCCAGTATTCTATCACCTACCAATTCCCTTGAGAGTAGAGATTGTTCCATTCGTTGTATTTGTTTTCCCAGAGCCTAATAGTAAGTTCTCCTAGCTTTGCACCATCTGCAGATCTCAGAAATATGCCATTTGGGGTAGCTAGCTGGCCCAAGCTGTCTAGAATGCTGGTTCTAGGGTCAGAAAGACCTGAGTTTAAATGTGACCTTGGTAATTACTAGCTGTGTGACCCTGGGCAAGTCACCCTGTATTTGCCTCAGTTTTGTCATCTGTAAAATGGGAATAAATAATAGCATTCTACCTTGTGGGTTGTTATGAGGATTGAATAAGATATTTGTCAAAAGGGCTTAGCCTGGTGCCTAGTGCAAGGTAGGTACCACATAAATGCTAGCTATTATTATGATAATGATGCTTATATGTATCTAGGTCATCGATAAAAATGTTAACTAGTACAAAGCTAAGTCCAGATTCTTGGTGGACTCCACCAGAGACCTCTTTTCAAGTAGGCACTGAACCATTAATGACCACTCTGTAAGGATAGCTAGCTGCTCAATGAGTTCTGAATACACTTAACTGCAAGATAAGCTGGTTTAAATCCCTCCATTTAATTCTATAAGAATAGCACAAGAGACTTTACTAAAATATTAATCAACTTATCTACATTATTTTCTTGATCTATTAGCCTTTTTTTTTTAAAGACCAGATCTATAATTTCATTCACAGTGGGAACTGGGGATGAAGGGACTTCACTTACCAATGTCTTGGTCACCTGTTCTGAAATT